AATATGGCATTTCTTAAGTGCGACATCCTGGATGGTCTACCGTTTCCGGATAACACGTTTGATTTTGTTCGACAAGCATTTATCATAATTTGTATGAATTGGCGATTATGGAAAGAGAAAGTGGTGAAAGAACTAATACGAGTAACTAAGCCCGGAGGATATATCGAAATTATGGATATAAACCATGAAATCATAAATCCGGGCATAGTAAGCGAAAAAATTGACGATTGTTGTAAGTGTCTGATAAATCGTATGCGTATGCGTATGCGCTTTTAGACGTGTAGCTAACTCTAGCTACCTTTATCCCATTATTTAAAATTGTAGTAGAGGAACATTTTCGTAAAGCCGGAATTAATCGAACGTCCGGTACGGATGTAATAGAAACATTTAATGAGTTCAAGGATAAAGTGATTGTAGCTCCAATAGAAGAAAGAACATACTGCTATGGGAAGAAAGCAGGTAGAATAGGTGAAGCGGTAAGTAAATAAAGTGTACCATATTTAATAAATACTCATGGTAGATGTTTATAATTAACTAATGTTTCTGTTATTCAGTTATTGAAATCTATATTAGAGGCATATAGAGCAATAAAAATTAGTTTTATTCATATTATGAGGATTACAGAAGAAGAATTCGAACAGACGTTAATTGGTTTTGAGAAGGAATGTAATGAAATCACGCACCGTAAAACACGATACCGTGCCATTATTCAAAAACGTTTAGACAGCGGTTGATGTTGGTTTTTACATACGACTATTTCAAAATTGTTTAGTTGGCTTTCGGTAGCCTTTCGTAATTTCCAAAATTATTTATTTTAATTAGTTCTGTATATAATAATAATTATTTTTGGAAATAATAAATTGAATTGAGGGTTATTTAACTGATGGCTTGACTGATCGATAATGTGACACTACCATTTCTTCAGTCCAGCAAATAAACTCTCTCAACTGCAAACAATGGAATAATGTCCTTATGTGTCACTTATCGAAGCTATTTGCTGAATGAATAAGAATCTGGTATCAAATAAAGGAAAATAGATACTCTGTCAGCTACACGCTTCATTGTTCTAGCATGGGGTTTTCCAGATAATAAGATAATCGTGATAATAACATTGAGTAACAAATAATAATGGTAATAATTATGAGGGAAAACTGTATGAAAATATTGGAGAATTTAGTCTGCGAAATTGGAATTATTTCAGAATGGAGTTTACAAATCGGGTGATTATGGAATTCGTCATACATGAAGTTGGGATGTAATAGAGACGAGTATTTGAAAAGCGTAGAAAGAGGATGGTACAATTAAGCAAAGCTGTAAAACGACTTGAGGATGCTTTTCAAAAGCAAACAAATATTACGAGCTTTCTACAATAATAATTTCCCAATAGATTTTTTCCAGCGAATAATTTGAATAAACATCTTTTTCTCCGGTTTGGATATTCGTTTCGATAACGCTACCCTTATTACCACTTGCTAATGGCGGTAGTAAATAATATTATGCAGGAAGTCACATGAAACAAACTGATTGGTGTTCTTAAATGCACTGCCTCCGTAAATACCAGCAATCGCATCGTCGGTCCGACGAGGTAAGTTTTAGAGAAAAAAAAAAGACCATTTTTTGTCAATCAAAATTATGCGTGGGGAAGAAGTGTTAAAAGCGTGTAACAAACAAGTTTCGTTACACGACATCTTACCGTCTGAGTTATTTATTGGTATACCAAATCTTCATAGAGAAAAATTAATAATCGAAGTAACGTCGCCAAAGAAATACTTATTCCTGTTCAAGTGTCGCACAATAAGGAAGTTTAGACTGGCTGTCATACGTTCTATAAAAATCAACTATCACCCAATCCATGTCGATATCTTCATGTGCGCTCCATTTTCTCGCAGAAAAGGGGGTTTTATTAAAACTGTACTCGGAACTTGTGTGACTTATAGCGTTATGTGATTAAATGCTGGCGGCATACGCATTGACACAAACTTTGTAATCTTTCGATAAAAATTTCACCGATGCAATGGTGAACGGGCTGAAATTAGAATGTATTTATAATTATGACTTGCGAACAAAATGAAAAGGTAAGAATAAATGGCTGAATTAAAAAGGAATATTCGACTATTCATTAACAGACCCAAACCTAATTTGATGATGTTAAGATACTGCCTTAGTATACCAATTTAGCAAGATCGACCTTTGTCCCCATCAGATGAGTCGCTTAGTTATCATTAGATAAGCGATTTTGAATGTGATGATACGTGCAATACAAGCTTAACGTCCCTTGCGCATTCTTCATCATTCACACAACATACCCGGTCCTCATACATCATATATATGATAAAAGACGAAAAGCAGGGGTCTTTTCCCTTAGACCCGTATTAGTATATGCGATGTTGTTGGGAAACGGTCTGTGTAACCTACCTTCTCCACTTATTACTGTATTATTAATTGACAGTTGCATAAACCGACAAACTTTCGAAAAAACTTACGTTTAGAAGAATACAAAATTCTGTAGTAGCAATAGTACTCTCATTGAGTGGAGAGAGTAACAATATTGTTGTATTTTGACCAGTGTCACATTGTTGTTGAGGATATAACATGAACTTTTTTTTTGAATTCAACATAATGCCACGGCGATAAAACATTACGTAATAATTAATCGAAGTTTTGTTGGTACTCTTATCTATTATAACATTAAACAACTACCAATAATTTTATATTTATAACATTACGTGATAAATGTAACCTTAATTTAACTCCTTAAAAAAAACCGGAGGTCTGTGCACATTGCATTATCATTCACAATGGAGCGGATACATCCAAACAGACCCCCTTCCTTAACAACGTCCGACATCTCAGGCACCGACTCGAGCATATCGCATGAAAGCACGGAAGATGAAATAGAAATCAACACCCAAAAGGATTCGCTATCCATAATGGATCCAATCGCGGCTGCTATAAAACCAGAAAATATGCTGGAAAAGTTTGTAGAAGTTGGCGGAAGACATTACTTGAACGACGCTACATTAAAATGTTATCTGCCCAGTGACCAGAAAGAAGTAGAAAGAGCGTACGGCTGAAGTTACATAGACAAGATTATATGGGGAGGTAACTACTCTGCTCCCGTTTCTGATAATCTATCATTAGGAGCTAGCGTTCTTGATGTTGGGTAAATACATTTATTGCGACTAAATTTGAAGTTTTATCAGCAATATATATATACAAAGTTTAATGTTCTAGGCTACCCCTATTAATGATTTCTATAACTACTCAGTTGTGGCACGGGAATATGGTAACAAATATGGCGTTGGAATACCCTGTTTCAGTATTTGTTGGAATAGACATCGCTTCTTTATTTCCTGAAAAGTATCCACCAAATATGGCATTTCTTAAGTGCGACATCCTGGATGGTCTACCGTTTCCAGATAACACGTTTGATTTTGTTCGACAAGCATATGTCATAATTTGTATGGATTGGCAATCATGGAAAGAAAAAGTGGTAAAGGAACTAATAAGAGTAACTAAGCCCGGAGGATATATCGAAATTATGGATATAGACCGTGAAATCATAAACCCGGGAATAGTAAGCGGAAGAATTGACAATTGTTGTAAATATCTGATAAATCGTATGCGTATGCGTATGCGCTTTTGGACGTTTAGCTAACTCCAGCTGCCTTTCCCCCATCATTTAAAATTGTAGTAGAAGAACATTTTTATAAAGCCGGAATTAATTGAACGTCCGGTACGGATGTAATAAAAACATTTAACGAGTTCAAGGATAAAGTGAGCGTAGCTCCCATGGAAGAAAGAACATACTATTATGGGAAAAAAGCAGGTAGAATAGGTGAAGCGGTAAGTAAAACAAGTGTAAGAAATCTTCATAGCATACATATTTTTAAAACTAATTAAGGTTTTTGTTATTTAGTTATTGAAATGTATGGTGGAGGCGTATAAAGCAATGAAAGTTATTTTTATTCATATTATGAAGATGACAGAAGAAGAATTCGAACAGATGTTAATTAATTTTGAAAAGAAATGTAATGAAATTACGCTCCGTAAAACACGATACCGTGCCATTATTCAAAAGCTTTTGGGCAGCAGTTGACTATGGTTTATTTGCGCTTTTATTCTAACATACTGTAAAGGTTAGCTGAAAAATTGTACGATAAATTTGTATTAGTGTTATACAGTATATATACAATTTAAAAAAAAACAACGTTGGATATGAAATACTTTGAATTGAGAATTATTTTGCAATGTTTGTAACAATACGCTGTTTATTTTATTTTGTATTTCCTGCACGACGTAAAATTAGATATAAACATTATATTGTTAATGCTATTATTAAATTGTATTGAAAACTCGTTAGCCGACTTATACTTATAGATACTGAGAAAATGTTTGAGCGAGTTAGGCCTGGCCTGCATACTAATTATTCCAAGCGGAAGTAAAAGTAAGTAAATTCGCTTATCAAAATAAGATTAGCTAAAGTTTTACGTTGTAAATTTATTGAAGTAAAACAAATTATTAACCAATTTTGAAGTTTTTTAATTCAAAAGTAAAGGCGCGTTTATTTTTGACCAAAGAGCGATCAATTACTTTAGATATCAAATACTGTAATACACAACATAGCGGTTAGTCAACACATTACATACGTTCTGAGAAGGTTTAAGCAATTGAAACGCAATTGCAGTTGTGTAGTCAAGGATTGCAGAGCATTATACCGTCCAGAATATTAACTACGGCATATTTTCTCTGACCATACATAGCTAAGAGTATGATCTGTATATTTATTTAACAAGAAAAACTGATAACAAATCCTTTTCTGAAAATGAATCAATTTTAATAAAAACTAGATCAAAATGTTTCCGATAACCTAAAAAAACTATGGGTTAAAATCGGACTTTAGGATATTTTTATTTTTATTTTTTTTTTAAATTTTATTTACGATAGTTTGAGATATCTACTAAGCCATTCATATCTGTATTCTGGTAAAGATAATTCGTAAACAGTGAAATCTGCTGCTACACGCTTTAAGCTACATTCCAAGATTAATAATGTTGGATGACGAAATAAAAACTAACATTTGCCAGTTCACAACAGAGCTTCCATCATTGTTTGATTCCTCGCGGCCCTCGTCAAACTTTCGCACGTCAAATTAAACTTACATCACAAAATAAAATTATAAAATTTAGAAGTAGAACCTTAATGCATCTCATTTATCAACAAATTTTTGAATCATAAATTGGCTTCAGTAAACAATAATAAGCAAAAGGCACTTTTTCTGGTAAAGCAATTGGCAAATATTTATATGTGGTTTGTGCGGACTGTTGTAAAGGTAAATTGAAGGGTTTTGTGCTAATACTAAGTACTTAGTAACAGAGCATTGCTTTCATTTTCTAAAAATTTTCGGTGTACAAGCTCTGACGAGATTTATTGACAATTGAATTGTGATTTACAATACTAATACCGGTATATGTTGAGACGCACTCTGGAATTGACTCGTTCAACTTAAACTCGTATCACAGGCCAATTCTCAGAATGGACCGTAACGTATACTGTATATCTTTGAAAAAACCTATCATTGTCTAATTGTGCTGTGTTATGCAAAGAAGGTTTGTTAGGCCACTAACAGAGACATGCATTTTTACCATTTTCAATTATCCACTGAAGAGCCAAGCATAGCGAATAAAATTTACTTTTCATAATATTATATGGCTTTAATTGACAGGTCCAATAGTTTTATTGATATGTACAGTATGTATGGGATGTTCTCTAGCTAAATATATAATTCATGTTTGCATTACAAACAATAAATACATTCCTGATACATGATGAAACTTTGGACAAAATTTTTTAAGTGATATCACCGAATCTGCTAGTAAGGTTTCTACACAACAATTATTCCTTTTGGGTCGAGACAGTAAATTTCTAAACCACCTCAGATTTTTTGAACCCATTGATGACATCGTTGTAATTATATTAAAACTGATAGACTTTGGAACAGAAAATATGTTCAACAATGATAAAACTATTGCAGTTGCCCAAGAAAACTTTTAAGATAAAAAGCCAAAATTACGAGATAAAATTGTATGGGGAGGTAACTACTCTGCCCGTTCCAAGGTCTATCAGTAGAAGCAAGTTTTCTTAATGTTAGGCAAATGCATTATCGACTAAAGCCGTAGAAGTCTGGTCAGAAACATATGCGCCACTTGCATTAAGGATTTCTATAACTAACCGATTGCGCGCGCGAAGCGTGATAACAATATACGTTGGACTACCCTGTTCGCTATCATTAGAATGAGATTTATTCCTTTATTCCCTGAAAATTATCCATCGAATACGACGTTTATTAGGCGTGACGTCCTGAATGGTCCACCGTTTCCAGACAACACGTTATCAACGTCTCGTCTGTTTCAGATGTAATAAATGAATTGTACGAGCTTAAAATAAAAAAGTATTATAGCGCCTTTAAAAGAAAGAATACATTAGCTTGGAAGGGTGAAGCGATAATCAAAGCGTCTAGCGTAAAAAAAAGAAATTGTTTATAGTTAAGTAACGCTTACACCTCTTAGTCATAAATATGTCATAGAGGCATATACAGGAATGCAAACCAACCATTCTCACTCATATTATGGGAACCCAAATACTCAGCCCAGAGCTCTGACTGATGTAGATTACGAAGGACTTTTATTCACTGAAAAGCGCTCGCTAAGGCCGGTTTAAGCTGTTTCCTAACTGATGTAGAACGCGCATCATGAAAGTCAGTTTAGCCACCATGTTAAGTCTCTTTGTGTTTATTTAATAGTAAAATAATAATAATACCTAAATAACTATAAAACTTAAGTCTAGTAATACACCTATAGCAATACTAAATGAAATGGTAATAGAATTAATTATCGATACACAAAATTATTCCAGTGAAGACTTTGTTTATAAGAAATTCTATAGCATCAACTTATCGGCTAAAATTTTCATTAATACTATTTAAACTTTAATTTTATTCGCACGTGGGCAAGTATTGCGCAATTGAAGACATCAAAATAAGACTACAAATTATAGCAGAAAAAATTACCCAGTATTCGGACCATTCTAATGATCATACATACATACAAGTTCGTCAATGGTTTGACACCGAAAGTATTATTTAATGCCGTTTAAGCAATACCCTGGCTGTATTAAGAAATTTTTTATAATAAAATTTTTATAATAAATATACATTAAACAGGTCTATTCCCAATCTTTCTATGTTCAATCGTTAAGTCTGATTGAGGATATTTTAATAAGCTAAACGTTTATATAAATCCAGTTATACAGTATATGCACCAGGAAAAAAAACTATTATACAAATTATTATGAGTTGTTAAATTCGATTATATAGAATAAGGGAAAAATAATTATTTCTGAGAATCAGAAACGTGATTTTTTCTTCACGATAAGACGATAAAAGTGTCTGGTTGATTTGCATATCCTGAGTTCCTTGGCTAAATCGACCAATAATTGACTAAACTCATCGTCTGTAATCCCAAGAAGCGGCATCATGAAGATTTTCATCGATTCAAAACCTTTCATCTCATACTTTAATGACTAAACAAAACAAAATAAATAAAAAGATTAATTGTAAATTCGTAACGTAATGTAGATGTTACATTCCGATCGCTGATTACTTACAATAGTTCCAATTCGACTATCATAGTATAGTATTTTTTCTTCTTGCTTGACTATAGTGACATTCCTATGTCCACTAAACACCTTGCTTATATTTTCACTGGAATTGGTATTAATCCCCGCATCGCTAAAATGAATCACTATAACATTTTGGTTAACGCAAAGGATTAATAATCAAGGAGCTATATACAGCGTACGACAAACGCAAACATTTTACGAGCTTTCTTACCACAATTATTAAATTTCTGAGCGATATTTCCCGGCTGAAAGAATGGATAATCCACATCCATGATTTCGATATATCCTCCAGGTTTAGTCACTCTGATTAATTCTTTGACAACTTTATCCTTCCATGTTTCCCAATCGATGCAAACTATGAGAAATCCTTGTCGAACGAAATCGAACGTGTTGTCGGGAAACGGTAGGCCATCAAAGACATTACATTGAAAAAAGGCAGTATTGACCGGGCAATCGCCATAAAACAAGGGCGCAATATCTATTCCTACAAATGTCGAAAGGGGATAGCTTGAAGCCATGTTTAACACCCATGATCCTGAACCGCATCTATTGAATCAATCGGGATACGCAAACGTAATGAGAATACGAATGTCGAGTTAATTTTCTTTCCGTAATGTGATATGTATGCAATAATCAACATCACACACACCCCATGTCCCAATATATCTTACCCGACATCGAGGACCTTGGCTCCGAGAGACAATTCTTCTTCAAGGGGAGAAGAAAAGTTGTTACCCCACAACATTCTATATACACAATGCAATCCATATAATCTTTCTGCCTCTTTGCTGTCGCTGGGCATACAGCATTTTAACGTGCTATCATTCATAAAGCGTCTTCCGTCGATTTCTAAAAATTCTTCGAAAATATTTTCCATGGTCTTGGCAGCATCGAGTGGATCGAATAATGACGAGGTGGATTGATTTGAACTGGCAAGAGAGCTGGTTTTCATGTCGTCTTCGATATCATCGAACGTTATGCTTGGTACAGGTTCTGGAAAGTAGGTAAGAGTTTTTGTGTTGATCATGTTTTTCGCTAACTCTGTAGGGGTGATTCTTTTTTTTTCCCTCCTCCGTGGGGGAGGAGGGTTTAAATATAGTTAGCTTAAAACCTTCATGTCGGGAAAATTTTATCACACGATTTAATGTTCCGAGTATTTAGTGGATAGCCAATAATTAAATCATCAAGGGGGTGGTGGAAATTATGTAATTAATAAAGCTAGGTTATATTGGGTATAACGTGTATGTAATCATTTAATAAACAAATGAATTACGAATTGTATCATTGCTGTCCATTTGTGTTCAAATCTTGGGTAGCACTATATATCACGCACAAACGCACATACCCTCATATCACACATTACGCACACATCACATACTGGGTATCTGTTTTGATCATTATTAATATCAATTAGATCTGTATAAAACTGTGTCTCGCATTCATGGTCACATGTTTTGTCACATGTGACTAGTAACGTGGTAAATTAACTGTGTGCGTTAATATTGTTTGGAGCAATAGACATCATCTATTCAGTTCCTCATGGAGATTACTGTGATCCGAAACTTGTTCTATTTAATTTTGCGATCGAACGCTAAGGACATCATACGCATTGACTTTGTTTCATTCCCTAGATTTAATAATAAGCATAAGCCTCATTACACTAAATATGTAATAACGGAATCGGTAGTGATTTGATAGATGTGTAGTAACACCGAGATATCAATTTGAGTACTTTTTTTTTTCTTTTCTTTTTTTTTTTTTTTCGCTCACAACAGATTCTGACGAGACAAAGAAACATAAAAAAGTAAAATAGATGCTCATTTGGCTGTGGACTGGGTGCAAGTGCGCGGATTTTAAGTTTGGTCAAACATTTGCCTACTTGGGAGAATGAGATCGTTACTGGTCTAAGCTTTCTTGGGGGCGTAAAAAAAAATTTTTTTTTCCCTATATCATTTATGCCCCCTCGTCGAATGATTTTAAGCCTGCGTTGTTCTATCACATATACGTCAATTCGTATCGATTTGTGTTTCTAATCGAGCTACGGATTTACTTATTTCGGATAAATCATCGGATTGTGTCATGCTGTGCTGACTAATTGATCTGCATGTCCGACGAATATTATATGCTCATTAATAATGCTTACCTAAGTCAACTAATCCCCATAATAATATTTGACATTCCCACAAGGCGTTATCACATTTATGGCGAAGAAAAAGACGAAATTGAATAAACAGTGAATCAATTATTTTTATGAAAATTTTATTCTCTCGATATGCCTCCTACTTATTTTGCTGTGGTGTCTTGGACGGTGCGTCAATGAGGGGTTTGATATTAATATAATGAGCGTTTAATATACACAAACCGGTGGTTTTTCGATGTAATCTCCGGAGTATTACAAATTTGCTTTTCAGTAATTGTAAAGTTCTACTCCTCGACGCCCGTTTTTTACATCGAATTATGCACAACACAGTAACTAGCACAAAGTATCACTGATCTTTTTTCTTCTCCCCTCCACACCCAAAAAGACAAGTGTTGTTCCCGCACCCAGTTTTCTCTTGAAATAATCCTGCACCAATAATAACAAGTCAAACGTTCTCCCATTGCTACGAATTTGTACAAAACGATAATCATAATCAGCTTGCTTATTACATACCCCACAATCGCAGTTTTCAGTAACATGTGAAATTGGAGTTCACAACCAAATGGACATGCTAATACTGTAATTAGCCAAGAGCATCCCACACGGGGGAAAGTTTCCGCTTTTAAACTTCTAAAGGGGTAATGTCTTTATTTGGATAATTTGATTATCCAAGATAAAATTTCGATGTGGATGAACCTCTGTATTACGTGCCACACTGGAAATTAGTCTCTTGATTCTATATTACCGAACACCACTCGCTCGCAGCGTTGTTCACTATCCCATAGAAGGAAGATTGTCTGCGTTGATTAACAGAAAGTGTCTCTGGTAATGAAACCAGATCTGGTAAGTGATTCCGGCTCACTTGCCGCAAACTGCAAATACGGAATTTTTACGTTAACGAGGTCTATCAAGAATGTTTTTATGTAAAGGATGGTTAAGGCAGGAAAAAACAAAAACTGATCATATTTGAAACGAAGAGTTATGATATTAATAGTAACTAATCAGGATATAAACCGTTTTCTCAACTGGTGGGATATTAATTAGCAAGTGTTTTTTATTCATGTCATGTGCCGTATTACTATTTCGATTCGTATTAAACTAATGGGGTTAGTATTTCTCTTGGTTGTAACATATTGAAGTTTAAGAAAATCGCCAACCTTGTATCATGACAATATCGATACGTTCAATATTTTGACTGTAAACTGTTACAAACGTTTTTACAGAATTGACTCCAAATTATGTTAAAGTTGGAGAATTGAGATCATTTTCACTTGACAACGATTTACGTTTTTTTAATGAGCATATTGGTTTTTGTGTGCCCATGTGTTCTTTTACTAAATAAAATTACAGCACACATCATGGAAATTTGTTTCTTATTACGTTATCGGTTTTGGGATACAATATTTATCTGCGTAATATTTAACCAACAATCTGATTGTGGAAAATAATGCGAGACGAAACAAGCTGTTTTTGTACGCTTTTCCTATAATTCACGTCTTCACCTACGCTTCAACATTAAAGATTACTTCAGACCAATCTATAACAAGTTTTTGTTTACGTACAATAAAAGCTTCTTGTGGAAACGAGGTGACTAAGTTTTGTTTGACTTCCATTATAATTATTGTTACTATATAATACGTAGATAAAATAATAAATTAAGAATGTTAACAACGCCAAGAGCTTTTATGCCTAGTAACATGACGAATATGCAAAAGCAAGATTGAGTTTTGTTTTGTATGCATTTAACCTGAGTGTTACGTACGTACGTAGCAAGTACTTGTCCACTAATTCTTTATCAGAAATAATAGATTTGAAATTAGTGATATAGTTACCCTCTGTTGTCTATCTTTTATAGGATAAAGTTCTGCGCATTAAACCCGAAACTTTGTAATACTAATAAGTAATAATGTTTTGGTTAATTGGCGCCATCACGATGATACAATTCGTTGAAACAATCTCATTGTTTACGAGATAATGTATAAGATTTACAATTTTTATTGCAGAAAAAAGGGGTTCTTGTTTATAACACACAAAAGAGACAAGCCTTGTGACTTCTCCTTACCTAAACTTACGTAAAATTCGCATCTTTTTTGATAGGCTACAAAGAATTTTACAACAGCTATAGTACAATATTTGCAAATGCCCCTACTTTATACAAACGACTAGAAAATTAATATTAAATTATATTGCATTATTATAACTAAGCTCTCGTAGACACATCATCAAGTTTTCTTATAACAACTCGATATTCTTTCATGTATGTCTGGTATTTATTTACTTCCTCGGCGTAATCAACTATCATTTGCTTGTACTCGGCCTCTGTGATGTTAAAGAGAGGACAGTAAAAGACGGCCATTGACTCGAGTAACCCTATGTAATTCTTCAATGCCTAACAACAACAAACATGTGTGTAAATGGGGGCTGTCGCAAATTTTTTAAATTAAATGCATGCAACGTGACAAAAATAAATTGGTGTTACTTACCGCTTCCCCCAGTTTCCCTGCCCAATGTCCATAAGGTATAATTTTCTGCTCAAATTTTTCAACGACAACCTCATCCTTGAGCTCACTAAATGCTTTCACCATAGCTGCACTAGACACGGTTTTGATTCCAGAAGCCTCGACATGTGAATGTCCTAAAAATTATGAATTAACATGTGATAAGCATATATTTCAAGTAATCATATAATATACATTTGCATGCCACAAATGTAACTTACGAAATTTCTCAAACATCCGACCAATAGGTCCCGGTTGCATTATTTCAGCGTCTATATCCATGATTTCGATATACCCTCCAGGCTTTGTCACTCTCACTAGTTCTTTCAAGACTTTATCATTCCATCTTTGCCAATCGATACAGATTACTAGATAGGCCTGTCGAACAAAATTGAATGTGTTGTCCGGAAATGGTAGTCCGTCAAGGACATTGCATTTAAGAAATGCTACATTTGGTAAACTGTGTTTAGGAAACGCCGGAGCATTGTCTATTCCGATAACCGTGGAGAGAGGATGGTCCGAGCCCGTGTTTGTAGCCCATACTCCCATGCCACACCTTAAAAGTGTCATATCGGTGAGAATAGGAACTAGTATAGGGAAGGGGATAAGGAAGAACAGCACAGATTTATATTTACCCTACGTCAAGAACTCTGGCACCAAATGCTAATTCTTCTGTAACAGGAGAAGATTGAAGGCCTCCCCATAGAACTTTGTCTACTTGATGCATTCTATGTGCTCGCATTTCTTCCTTATTGTCACAGGGAATATAGTTACTCGATTCGGAATCATTGAAATAGCATCTTCCGTTAATTTCTATAAAGACTTCGAACAAGTTTTCTGGGGCTATGGCAGCATCTCTAACCGGAGCAACAAAGGATTGCGTTGGTTGTTGTGGTTGAAATAAAGCGTTGATGCTAGCTTCAGCATATTTGGATTCTTTCGATTTCAATGATTCTGCCTTCATTATGTTTTGAGACGTGCACAGACCTTGGTATGTGTTTGTGTGTATATTTGTATGTGTATATATTTGTATGTGTTTATGTTTGTATGTGTCTATGTTTGTATATGTATACGTCTTGACCTTTTCTTTTTTCTTGGAAGGATTTGAGGTAATGGTTATATATACTTTTTTTTGTGTAAGCATGCAATTGTTATATAATCAATTCATAATCAGGATGTACCAATACAGTCGTACCTTGTTTATAACCTCCCCTATTGTAGGTGTACATCGGCGTGATTTGATATCAGACCAATGAGAGACTTATCCCCACGAATTTGGGGTTCGGACTTAGATGCCCTGTCTCTATATTATTAGCTTTAAACTGTTGTAATGAATTGTTTACCTAATGAACTTTGGTGGAAACCACAAGGATACATAGAGAATACCACCGAGAATACGTCTACGCAAAAACTCTATTATATTTCAATTATATCTCCGTAAATTCATGTCACATGATGTCTTACTATTTTTATCTGTTCAAACGACCACTTTGGCTTAGGATTAGTGAATTAATGTAATGATCGACGTTAATTATTATACGACCCGATTTTTTGAACTGCCATAATGTTTCATTGTAAAGAAAAATTCTCAATTTCAATATAAGAGAGCGTGTTTTAATCTAACGTTCTTTGAAATCTGTTCATGCGGTTATCTGTCATCAACTAATCTTATTTCTAAAGTGATAAATTTCCAGTTTCTTATAATATAGCTAGCTCTGCAGCCTCAATTAATACGAGTAAAAGAAAATATCAAGATCGGAATCAATAAATGAAAGGAAATCAATTCCAAGATATGGGATGAAAATTTGCTTACTGAGTTTGGCGATATAATGCATCGTTAGATGAATCGATAGAAAAGTTAAAGCAGCCCAGACTTCATTAGCAGAGGGAATTATTAACCAATCAAAATCCTTCTCCTATATCAATTATACCCCATTCAGACATATCCCCAAAAGTCTCCGTCCCGAAGTAAAGTGGGAAGATAAACGAGGGGCGATTGTAGATCAAACTTTATGTGACCCTTGTGATATAGACGTATACAAGATTAATAGAAAGAGCTGACTGAATAGAAGCATCAACTCGTTTGTTAAACTATCGATGGCCCGGTAAGCTTACGCAAAAACTACAGTAAACCAGTATTATTATTATATGTAATAGTTAAAACTTTATACCTTATAAAACTCTCATTCTTATTTGTATAACCGGTATGTAATATGCCAAGACAGTCTGTGCTTTGGGGATGTTTTTTTTTTTCGCGGCAGATCTTTATCCCTTGTACATTCCAAGTTCTGTAATCAAAAGAAAGGGAACGCTTACGCATCTGGAAAGTTTATTTTTGTCATAACCTGCTGAAAAACGCAAATTTTGCAGCTCGTCCTAGCATTGGATGAATTAAAGTTCCGATTTTGCCAGATGTGGATTAGTAAAGCCGAGTTTTTTTGCTAAACTCTGTTGTCATTTGATTACTAATTTGTACGTTGATTTTCTAAAAGTCATAGCACCCAATAAGAATTGTCCGCAATACAATAGTTGTTACGCAAATTGTCAAAGAATTAACGAATAGGGAAAATGTTTGCATAATCCGGACCGTCCTGGGGCTATCGATAACTTTCCCGGTTGCTGTTACACGTGGTATCTACCAATACGAAAAACAATAATACTGGCAATCTTTTCATCCACTCTTTTGACAAAAAGACCGATATGTTTTTGCGATCAAACTACGCTAAACGCTTTGGCTTGTTAATTATTGATACTTACGCTCAAAATATGCTAAATTTTTTTCTTACTTGTGATAACTCGGTTTATTTATTGTTCCATTTCGGAAAAAGATTGCACTGATAAGCATCGGTTGAATCGTATGACTGTGTCGTTGCCAGTACGATGCAAGCATCAATGCTGTTCAAGAATTTGATTAGTCTGTGTTTAATCATCTTACGCGGAGATTGCCGCTGCAGAAGCGAGGGTAGTACACATTCATTTCGGAAGAGACAGTGGCAGCGACGGTTATGCGATATTCTTATGTTATGCATATTGTTACATGTACTTTTATCCGTTTGGAGAGATAAACAATCGCAGTGTTAGAATAGGAATACCACGACTCGTTGTCATAATTCTGTTTCTCTCTCTTTATTTGTAAAAAATTTCACCAAGACTTACATAAAAGTCACCCCAGTTCGAAAAAAACACACATTATTTTGCATACTTGTGACGCTGTTTTATTGGTACCAAAGTTGCAATTTAGCTGTTGGCGAGCGATTATGCGAACGATAATTACAGAATAATTATCGCAAACAATTTGTAAAGCCCGTGCACGTTTGAACAAAGCTCAATGTAATAATAATAATAATAATAATAATAATAATAATAATAATAATAATAATAATAATAATAATAATAATAATAATAATA